TACCTCCGTGAAATCAGATCTGATTAGGCAGAGCTATTCTATAATATTCCTTGAAATCAGATCTGCTTAGGCAGATCTGTGATATATACCTCCTTGAAATCAGATCTGCTTAGGCAGAGCTATTTTATAATATTCCTTGAATTAGATCTGCTTAGACAGATCTGCGCTATATAACTCCGTGAAATCAGATCTGCTTAGGCAGAGCTATTTTATAATATTCCTTGAATTAGATCTGCTTAGACAGATCTGTGATATATACCTTCGTGAAATCAGATCTGCTTAGACAGAGCTATTTTGTAATATTCCTTGAAATCAGATCCGCTATATATCACAGATCTGCCTAAGCAGATCTAATTCAAGGAATATTATAAAATAGCTCTGCCTAAGCAGATCTGATTTCAAGGAGGTGCATATCGCAGATCTGTCTAAGCAGATCTAATTTCAAGGAATACAACAAAATAGCTCTACCTAATCAGATTTGATTTCAAGGAATACAATAAATTAGCTCTACCTAATCAGATCTGATTTCAAGAAATACAATAAAATAGCTCTACCTAATCAGATCTGATTTCAAGGAATACAATAAAATAGCTCTACCTAATCAGATCTGATTTCAAGGAATACAATAAAATAGCTCTACCTAATCAAACCCCTGGCAGATCAATACAAAACCCCTACAACACCAAACTTTCGCAATAGAAAAATTTCGAGATTTGATCGTAACAACCCGATCATGTCCTGGGGACAAGAAAATCTCTTTAAAAAAAAAATAAAATAGCTCTGCCTAATTAGATCTGATTTCAAGAAATACAATAAAATAGCTCTACCTAATCAGATCTAATTTCAAGATATACAATAAGCCTAATCAGATCTGCTTTCAGGGAATACAATGAAATAGCTCTACCTAATCAGATCTGATTTCAAGGAATACAATAAAATAGCTCTACCTAATCATATCTGATTTCAAGGAATACAAAAAAAATAGCTCTACCTAATCAGATCTGATTTCCAGGAACACAATAAAATAGCTCTGCCTAATCAGATTTGATTTCAAAGAATATTAAAAATGTTTCGTGAGACACTCTGTAGGTCTGCCTAAGCAGATCTGATTTTGTTTAAATTGATCCCGGAAAAAAAGAATCTTTTTTATAAAATATATTTTGAAGTTCCTGGTTTAAATTCATTAATGAGAATGTCGTCATGTAAATTCAAGTGACCTAAAAAGAGGGACATGCTTAATACACACTACTACACCTTTATCTGATCTGATCTAGCTTGACAAGTGTACAGTTCTAACTATTTTCTCCATTTGCTCATTTACTCCTGTAAAGAGAATCCATAATCGAAAATTGACAATCTTTTAATAGATGCTAATGGATATCTCCTGCATTCTTAATTATTAATGGGTACCATTGTGAATCGGACATGCTGCTCTATAAATGGCAAGTCAGTTGAAATCCCGTCTACAGTCCCTTAAAAATTAATTTCCAACCCTTTTCTATTCCAGGTTTTATAATTGAAGGGTTTAAAACGGACACTTAATTATGCGGAGAGAGCCTTTTGTTCCCTCCTGAAAGGGTTCAGTGCAGGGAGTAAACTAGTATGATAGAACTTGAATCTATTAGGAAGTATAGTTTACATGGTTCAGTGTATAGAGTAAACTAGTATGACGAGTTTGGGTGGCTTGAAACCGGCAGAAGCTGGTGGATTAGAATGGCTTTGGATTTGGCTTTTGGGCGCAGAGGTGGGAAATGGGATAGACACGGTGATGTGGGAGTTGAGGAGGTTCATGGCGGTCTGTCTGGTGGCACGGAGGTCGGAGTGGTCCTAAAGAATGAAGTCCAAGTTGGATTTCAGGGTTTGTTGTACAGATGGTTAATGTCTGTCAGTTCATCGATGTCCTTCTCCTGAATGGCGATATTGAACATGGCGGTCGGGAGCAGGATGGCATGGTTAGCAGGTGGTTGAGAGCGGTCGGCAGTGGCAGGAGAGGTCGATGATGCATTGCTGCTGTTCAGGGCTACATTTAAAGGTTGTGGATGTGGTTGATCGGTGTTCTGCATATAATACATCCCTGTTGTAAGCAAGGCGAATTTCTGGTGCTCGTTGTCTGAGGTTCCTGGCGTGAAGTCTCAGTATTGATAGGGTCGATGACTCCATGGATAGGATCCTGTTGGAGAGAAGTGACAACGTCCATACTAGATTTGTCTTGGTTGCAATAGTTTGAAATGTTCGAGAATAATCACAGACGATTGCTTGTTGGATGAACTCCTAGGTACCAGAGAAACTTGTAGTTGCAAATATGTATATATTTCAAATTTACTAAAGTACAGTTTTGGTATTGATAAGAAATAATAATTAAGCATTTTCTTATTTTCCAACAAAATTCGATTTCCATAAAATTTTGAAAATCCGCGAACTTTTTTTGTAAAATCTGCAAAGTTTTTTGTTTTTGTTTTAATTTGCTTAAATGTCGTTTTCATATTTAACAGTTTTATGGGTCGCACTGTACTGCATCAAAACTTCTATTAGTTTAATAATATTTATGAAAAAAGGATATAATTGTTTAGTGAAAAACCCCAATTAAAAAAGGGGTGGGGACTGCGGACTGTGGAGCATCCTAAATTGTTACAATTTATATATGTTCATTTTGAATGAGAGATGGATTAATTTAATTCCAACTCAAAGAGAATAGTTAACTATAGAGTGGAATTCAGCTTAAAAAATTGTAAAAGCGCAATTTTGTTATACTGTTTCCACACTGCTGGCGTATTAAGTACTTTACACCTTTACATCTTCTACAAAAAAAAATACTTGAAAATTATTTAATTTACTCTAAATGAATTCTCTGAAAACCTGTCATGCATTCGACCGAGTTCATTTCAGCATAAGCTTTATAAAAAGAAGAAATTGTAAGGATTATGTTCAGGGATCAAACTGTATTATTGTGCTGTACTGTGTCTTATTTGTGAACATTTACATGAATTGTACACTTTGAACTCCTTTTCAGGCGGAAAAGAACTGAACAAATTCCAACCGTGGGATAGCCTTATGTCCCTTCTATTCCAATCTCTGTTCTGTGTTCCACTTCCAACCCCATGGTTTGCAGGAGGGATCAGTTACAGATTAAATATCAAATACAATCAGCCAAAATTCTAATTAATTCCGAAACAACGTTACAAACATCAAACAAACAAAACTATTTTCGACGGTTTGCAGCTTTTCAACAGAGTTTCTCACATCATTTAGGATCGTTTATGCATCTGAATAGCGATTTTCAACTAATCAGAAAATTTTAAAATAATGAATCCTGTAAAAAAATTGTATAAGCCTATTGTATAAAAATTAGCATGCACTGTTAGATTTTTCAAGTAGTATGTGTGTATTTCACCGTTAAATCTTGGAGATATAATACAATATGATATGACACGCTCTGTATAATGGGATACTACTTCTTTAAAGGGAATTTATATTAGTTATGATTGATTTATGACCTTTTTAAGAAATCAGCCCACCGCTCACCGGGTGTTTGTAAATTAAGACCTGAAAAAAACCAATGCGATCAACACAATTTTTTTAAATCGTCCATACGGAGAAATCACTACATCCAAAACAAATATTTAAAAAAATTAGATGTCTCACTTAATTTTCTTGGACATTTTATGCGTAATTCAAATTTGAAAACCAAAAAGGCAGAAAAAACTGTTCAAAAATCTAGTTTAAAGCTTGTTGTTTCAGGCTCAATAAATTTTAGGCATAAAAAACTGGGTTTCAAATTTAAAATCAGTATTCAATTTTTTAGAAAATGGAATGTAACATTTTTTGTTGCATTTTTTTTGGGGGGGGGGTCGGGGCCTCTGTCGTAATTTTTCCGATATTTTATCGTCCAATCTGCCCAACAACTAGTCTTACCAGGGTTGTATAATAAGGTTGTTACTCTCAATGCGGAAAATGTGTTCTCCTAAGATAGATAGATAAAAACATCATATGACGTCACTTTCACCTCTGTTATCAATGACGTCAAATGAGGTTTTTATCTATCCATCTTAGGAGACGCATGGAGAGTAACCAGGCTTAATTATGCAACCTTAGACTTTACCACTCCCCTATTTGAAAATATTACTTTTTTAAACTTAGTTTTTTTGTAAATTTTACTGAAACAATTAAGAAAGGCACGTCTGGTCTCAACAGATAAAACTATACTTTTTATCATCAGTATTATTTATGTACACAGAAACCTAATTTAATTCGGCTTTATGTTTAATCAAATGAAATGTAACAATTTTCTTTATTCAATTTTAACCAGCTCTTCCTTGATTGCACCAATTTATTCTAAAGAAAGTTTAAACACTGTAATTAATAAAATACTAACTCTAACTTCTAACAAACAACTATTCAGTATCATTCTCTGTTGCCTTAATAAGATTAATATAATAAAGCACTTCGCTCATATTTGTACACATATAATTGTATATTTATATATATATATGTTAGCATTAGCTGGCAACATTTTTTTTCTTCAAAAATCGATTTTTTGAAAAATCCCAAGAGCAATGCCTAGTTTTTTTTGGTAACCCTGGTTGAGAATACTGGGGAGGGATTACAGGGTGAAAGAGATTAAAGTATCGTTGCCTGCGGAATAAAATTTCAATGTGAAAAAATACCCCCCTCCTTACATCACATCAGAATGGGGAAAAACGGCCAAAACAACTTACACATAAAAAAGTAATACAAATAATCTCTTATTGTAGGTTTCTAGGGTTATACAACCTATTTTACGGACAAACAATGGGATGCTTGTATTCTACATATTAAGCATGGCGGATGCGGCTAGGCTAAAAATATTTACAACTGACGTGTTACATATCAAAATATTGAATTTTGAGATTTTGGGGTAGTGTTTCTTCATTTTGGGGCATAGTGCATCAGCGAAGAGGGAGGAGGCAATGTTTGACCCCCCCCCCCGGGGAAATTTTTACCTTACCAGTGATGGGGGGGGGTGGAGGGGGGTGGAGGGATGCTTGGTTGGTTGGATTCCCCTTTCTCTAGTTCCTACTGACAAATGATCGGAGGAAATCCCTAGTATAAACTTGTATTAGGGTTAGTCTTTAGGTAAATATATAGATAAATAGATAGGGAGATAGGTAGCACATAGATTCAGCCCATGCTTTGAAGTTTTTAAGAAGTAATTGGCAAAATTCTTATCAAATTTTGCTTAAAGCTTGATAGACAGACAGAAAGATAAACAGTTATTTGTCTAGCATATCCAGTAATTTATCTAGTTATCTAGTTATTTCCCTAGTTTTTCAGTTATTTACCTAGTTATCCAGTTATTTACCTAGTTATCCAGTTATTTACCTGGTTATTTATTAATTTATCAAGCATATCCACTGTAACTTACCTAGTTTTCAGATTATTTACCTAGTTATTCAGTTATTTACATANACATGATAAACCCTAAGAAGATTATTTAGTGACAAACATGAACACAGAACATTTATTTAACATAATAAATATATATAATAAATCTAATACATTTATTTCATTTTATTTTATAATTTTTCTGTTTGAGAGTTTGTTTGTCCGTTTGTATTCAATAAACGTAAAAATGGTTAAACCGATCAAGTCTATAAGTCCAGGGAAGGTTTAATTGAACGCTTAGAGTTATAAAAAATTGTACCCAAGCACGAGGTTATTGTGTATAGAGTGATGATGTAAGCGATTCCTTACTAATTTTATAGGCCAGGAACTATACCGAAAGCGTTCTGCATATTTGTTTATTATAAGTTGATTCTGGCCTAACCTATAGTATATCAATATAAGTGAACAGTTGTTAGTGTACAGTACAGCTAACTGAGCACACAGCCTCAGGTAGAGAACTCACATTGCCTCTGATTGTACACTGTACATTCGTTTCGGAGGGGTTCTATAACTTGTTTTAAGTTTCGCTCCACCATGCACTAGAACCATGTACAAGGTTACCCACAAAGGATATAACTTCCGAGACGACTGTACGGAATAATAACTGTCGGCTTCCTTCATTATTCCTTGCAATTGTAAACTTATTTCTCCCCTTTTCCCAGAGTTATAATGCAAGGAAAGTTAATTGCAGTTACGTGTATTCTGCGTATACATTGAAACCAGTTCTCGACACTGGGCGGAATTGGTAAACAAGAATAAATGCATCAGTGTTCGTTTAGTATCCGAGGAGGTTAAATGTTAAAAGATTTAAATTTTGATAATTTTCACAATAGTTTTATGACCAGAATATTTCAGTGATGATGTGGAAGATGGATCTCATGTCAGGCTTCGACACCCGTCTTGTGTTTACATTACCGCCCAGAGACAGTACACTGCAGTCAAAAGATGCGTACACCTCTGAAATGACTTTCCTTGCATTGTAACCTTCCTTTTTCCAACATTTGATAATCCAAGCCATTAAAGTAATATACTTAACATTAGGATTAAGCTAGTTTCGAGCCGTCTTTACACTACAGTCTCATCCTTTGTGGGTTTGTTATATTTTCTCTAACACGTTAAGATATATTTTTGTCTACACATGTAAAATTGTACAATATACATTGTACAGTGTACACCACTGAGGAGGAAATTTAAAAGAGTATTAGCAAACAAAACTCAGCTTGGTAAAATCCAGATTGTTTATGTGAATAGTGCACATCACTTAAATGGGACAGACCGGCCATGTAAGGTAGTTGACCTGAGTATGCAGTGTTGTGGACAAATTCTTTAGGATTCATTTGAGACACATAAAACTTGTTTAAGATCTATAAATCCTGAGTTTGAGCGCAAATTGTTTTTTTTTAATTATTAAATAACGTCGATAAAAATGTAAAAAAATTCTACAACTAATTTGTTGTTGAAATCTGCGAATAAATTCATAAAAAATAAGAAATTCAATATAATGATGAAAACGAAATAATTGATTCTAGCATTTATTTATTGACAAGTTTCTTTTCAGAAATATGTTCCTAACCATCTAATCAGTTTAATGTATATTTTTTTTGTTTTTCGTCGTCGTTATTTAATAAAAAAAAAACGATTCTGAAAACGTACCCGGACCCTAATTCATGATTTTGAACGTCGACTATGCACTTAAACTCAGTAATTATACATCGTGGAAAAGTTTTATGTGTCTCAAATGAATCCCAAAGAGTGTGTCCACAATGCTGCATACTCAAATGAATCCTAAAGAATTTGTTCACAACGCTGCATACTCAGTTTAACTACCTTACATAGCCGGTCTGTCCCTTTAAAACTCACATTTGGCATTTGAACTTTAATGCAGCAATAGAAAAATGGAAAATCTCTGTCTAGGTTATTAATGTAGAATTTTAAGCTAAGAAAAAATATATCTGGGTTTCAGATACCTAGGTTTTTACCGCGCGTAACCTTGCCTTAAGTTTCCACCCCTCCACTTACTCTATACTCAAGATAATAGGAGATACACATGGCGCAAGGTGCCCCAGTCTTTATGTAAAATAGCACAAGAAATAAAATATTTGTATTTCTATAATTACTGTTACTAATGCTACTAACGCTTCCTCCCCGGAACCACTGGACACACTGTGGAAATATACAACAACCCCAAATTCTACAGCTCGAATGATTGATTAACTCGAAATAAAAAGCTACATGCAGCTAGGGATGTTAACGTTTTCAATTTTTAAAAAAAACAACCGTTCCGTAAGAAAACGACGGCAACTAAACGAAAACAAAACGATCGGTTTTTTAAAAAGTACGTTTTTAAAAAACGATCGCTTTGCAAAATGATCGTTGTATAAAGCTCGCCGTTTCTTTAAGGATCGTTAACGAAGACCCTTCGTTAACGATCGTTAACGAAGAGAGGAGAAGAGAGGAAACCACCCTGAAGGGCATCGGTACTTATCATTGAGCAGTTTTAAAGAAAATATCAAGAAGTTTTACCTCCCCCACAACTTTTTACCTTCATATAAGACAACAATCGATAAAGTTGCATGTTATTTTTTTTTTCTCAAAAACAATCGTTAATATATTTATGAATGAAAAAAATTTCAAAAACGATAGTTTTTTTAAAAACATTCGCATAAAACGATCATTTTCAAAAACTATTGTTATTCGTTTTCTAAAAGTTCAAAACAAGTGGATCGTTTTTAAAAACGATAGTTTTTTCCGAAAACGAAACGATCATTTTTGAAAACTATCGGAAAACGCAACAAAAAACGATCGTTTAACAATCGTTTTCAAAAACAATTAACAACCCTACAGTCAGCTTACTGGTTAGTAAATTTCTTTTTTTTAGGATAAAGCTCCCGAAAATATTTGTAGAAAAGTTTGTTTATTTTCATGTTGTGGATTCCCCATAGAATTATCTCCTAGACAGGCTATTTGTTATTTGATTATTGAACCCGTAATACATACATACATGCAAAATAACAATAAAGATCAAGAAATATATCTACACTAGGCTTCCTGTGCGCTCAGTGCCCATTTTCTATTTCAACTTTTAATTGTGAGCTGAGCATTTTCTTTTTCTGCAATATAAAACAAAAACAAAAAAGTTCGCGAATATTATAATATTTTTCGCGCATTTTCAAAATTTTACAAAATTAAAAAAGTTTTGTAATTTTGAGAACCCATAAACCTTTCGTGGGGTCATGTGAGGTCCCACACAAAATTTAGATCTGATCAGTTCATACGTTTTGACGTTTATTGGACACAAACAGACAAACAGACAGACAGCCAAGCAAAGTATATATATATAGATGGGTAAGACCAAGATAGATAAAAAATATCATGTATTCACATACATGATACAAAAGATCAAGAAAAATAATGATGTTTCGCAACCTCCCCCGGTTGCCCTAAAGTAGAGTATATATATACCGTGTGGTGTTTCTTCGGATCTGACCGCAAGGTGCTCTACTCTTAGATCTCTCCATAATCAACTACTCAGGATCAATCTTCAAGTTTTATTACACAGTTCAATCTATAAAAATGACCATATAGATCGAAAAAATACTAGGCTACAGAAAAAGCTTTAAGTAACTAAACGTTTATCATACTTTTACTTTGAGATAAAAAAACCATTTTACTTAGGCATACTAATATAATCTTTGGAGTAAATATCAATAATAAGAATTATAAAGAATATACATAAGGATAACTCACCACATTGGTCCTCGAAACACTTCACAGTAAATAAAAAAACGTAGAGACAATATACAGTGCTTCAACTACAAAATCTTTGATAATACTGGTTGAGTTTATGTGCGCATTACAGTACTCGAACCGGTTACAATATACAAAACTAGAAAATACTTGAAATTCTGGAAGCTTCTTTCTTCTTGGGACAGACACTGAGTCCAGGGGTAAATAAGACGGTTGCACAGGGGTGATAAACTGATCCTTACCGCGCACAACAAAAGATATATACACCTACCTTCAGGCAAAAGATCAATAAGGATTGCTAAACGAGGATCTATTACTTCTCTTACTGTAATCTAAGTGGAGTTTATTCCATCTGAGTTTATTTTGGATTCTAGATTACAGATTAAGTTTAATAGATGTAATTACATGTTTTGTATAGTTATATAAAATGTAGTTCGACGTGGTTATCTATAGACGAATCTAGGTACAATATTTGCGTATTTACTGATAAGATCCATAATCAACTACTCAGGATCAATCTTCAAGTTTTATTACACAGTTCAATCTATAAAAATGACCATATAGATCGAAAAAATACTAGGCTACAGAAAAAGCTTTAAGTAACTAAACGTTTATCATACTTTTACTTTGAGATAAAAAAAACCATTTTACTTAGGCATACTAATATAATCTTTGGAGTAAATATCAATAATAAGAATTATAAAGAATATACATAAGGATAACTCACCACATTGGTCCTCGAAACACTTCACAGTAAATAAAAAAACGTAGAGACAATATACAGTGCTTCAACTACAAAATCTTTGATAATACTGGTTGAGTTTATGTGCGCATTACAGTACTCGAACCGGTTACAATATACAAAACTAGAAAATACTTGAAATTCTGGAAGCTTCTTTCTTCTTGGGACAGACACTGAGTCCAGGGGTAAATAAGACGGTTGCACAGGGGTGATAAACTGATCCTTACCGCGCACAACAAAAGATATATACACCTACCTTCAGGCAAAAGATCAATAAGGATTGCTAAACGAGGATCTATTACTTCTCTTACTGTAATCTAAGTGGAGTTTATTCCATCTGAGTTTATTTTGGATTCTAGATTACAGATTAAGTTTAATAGATGTAATTACATGTTTTGTATAGTTATATAAAATGTAGTTCGACGTGGTTATCTATAGACGAATCTAGGTACAATATTTGCGTATTTACTGATAAGCGCATTTAGATTTACGGACAATGTACAAAGTAATTTATCTAGATTACTACAGGATCTGCCACTGTATTTATTACACCTTCTCCGATTTTTTTCAACTAAGTATCAATAGACATACATAAGACATGACATAGTCGGACATTTGTTCCTTCGTGGGACCTCGACATGAAGGTAACTCTATTCAAACAGTTAAAGCGTATTTGTTTTATTAACGCCAATTTATAGAATAATTTTGATTTAGTTTTTTAAATAATGTCTCGCTGGCGCTGGATTTTTTAACTTTCCTGAAAAAATATGAAATGTCGTCTTCATTATCAAAAATCCTCGAAGCAGGAATAAATGTTTTCAAAAGTAACTCTCAGATCATAAAGAATAAAAAAATATTACGAAATATCAACTATATAAGAATGCGTCGAAAAATAATCGATGACTATTGGTTGTAATATCTGAATGATTTGTTTGGAATGATATGGATAATTTACGATCCGAGTTGAATATTTGCAACTTTCCGAATTGTATATACGCTACGTTCTTCAGCATGAGTCGTTTTTAACAATTTTCTCCTGAAAGACGCAACAGATAGAAGTAATTGATTATTAGAGATCAAAAGCGTTTTTTTTTCGGGAACACTCCCTTTAAGTATCAATAAAGATCATTAAATATATATGCATTCATACTACTCTAAGGTATACTCTAGACATTTATAGCCTCTATGGTTTACTCTAGACATTTATAGCCTCTATGGTTTACTCTAGACATTTATAGCCTCTATGTTTTACTCTAGACATTTATAGCCTCTATGTTTTACTCTAGACATACTCTAATTTCTATTTATAAAATAGTAATCTCTGTTGGTCTGTATGTCCGATCATAACAGAGAAATCCCCTGACCGATTTACCTCAAGTTGTAAATGGGAAACTCGGTAGATCCACGGTGAATGTTCTTCGCCTGATTAAATATGTTCAACCTTGAGGCAATGCTGGGTGTACCCGACCTGGTTTTATATAAAAATGAACTCGACTGAACTTTGATACTTTTTAATATCCTGCTCTTACAAGTTTAGANGTGGGGAGGTGTAGTGGTATCTTAACACCTGGACCGATTTGCCACAAATTTTGATTGAGGAACTCGGGAGAGCCGCGGGAATGCTCTTAGCTTTGTTTTGAGTGGGTCGAATTTATTGGGAAAAATAGCTAAAATCGTTATTTACAACAAGGGGCGTGTAAACGGTGGGACTAACTATGACTCCCCCGTCCACGTCTGTAGGTATAAAGCCTTTTTTTATAATTATAAAGATGGTCTGCTTTGAAAAACAATCTTAAGAAAAAATTGTGAGTTTTACAGGAATTTTATAAATAATATTTACTGATTGGAATTTTATGAATGGCAAGTTAATTTTTCTTTGTGGTGGAATCTTCAATATTTTTTGGTGGATTTTCCGAATTCCATCAGATCTCTATCCAACCAATATTGTTCCAATCCTCTTTATACAGGTTGGGAGGGGGAATTTATGGAAGGAAAGGCAACTGATATATTATCGAAGTTTTCCAAATGAATAATTAAGTGTTTGTCTGTACTTCCAATGCACAAGTTATGGCTGTACTTTCTAAACAAAGGTTTTGTCTGTGATCCTATGGCTAACTTTTGTCTGTACACCCTATGGATAGGTTTTGTCTGTACACCCTATGGATAGGTTTTGTCTGTTCACCCTATGGACAAGTTTTGTTTGTACACCCTATGGCAAACTTTTGTCTGTACACCCTATAGATAAGTTTTGTCTGTACACCCTATGGATAAGTTTTGTCTGTTCACCCTATGGCTAACTTTTGTCTGTACACCCTATGGATAGGTTTTGTCTGTTCACCCTATGGATAAGTTTTGTTTGTACACCCTATGGATGAGTTTTGTCTGTTCACCCAATGGATAAGTTTGGTCTGTACACCCTATGGATAACTTTTGTCTGTACACCCAATAGATGAGTTTGGTCTGTACACCCTATGGATAAGTTTTGTCTGTTCAGCCTATGAATAAGTTTTGTCTGTACACCCAATAGATGAGTTTGGTCTGTACACCCTATGGATAAGTTTTGTCTGTTCAGCCTATGGATAAGTTTGGTCTGTACACCCTATGGATAAGTTTGGTCTGTACACCCTATGGATAAGTTTTGTCTGGTTACCCTATAAATAAGTTTTGTCTGTACACCCTATGGATAACATTTGTCTGTACACCCTATGGATGAGTTTGGTCTGTACACCCTATGTATAAGTTTGATCTGTACACCCTATGGATGAGTTTTGTCTGTTCACCCTATGGATAAGTTTTGTCTGTACACCCTATGGCTAACTTTTGTCTGTACACCCTATAGATGAGTTTGGTCTGTTCACCCTATGGATAAGTTTTGTCTGTAGACCCTATAGATAAGTTTTGTCTGTTCACCCTATAGATGAGTTTGGTCAGTTCACCCTATGAATAAGTTTTGTCTGTACACCCTATAAATAAGTTTTGTCTGTTCACCCTATGGATAAGTTTTGTCTGTACACCCTATGAATAAGTTTTGTCTGTTCACCCTATGGATAAGTTTTGTCTGTTCACCCTATAGATAAGTTTTGTCTGTTCACCCTATAGATAAGTTTTGTCTGTTCACCCTATGGATAAGTTTTGTCTGTTCACCCTATGGATAAGTTTTGTCTGTATGGATAAGTTGAATCATTGTTCAAAATATTCAGAGTTAAAATAAACCAACATTTACATTTTATGACCAATGCAGGTGGAGTAAAAGGGGGGGAGGGTTGAGGGTGGAGGAGTAAGAGGAGGGATGTTTCTCTGCAGTCCTTGAATTGGATGGAATTAGACTATGTATACATATATACTGTACTTCCCATAGGAATACAACAACAGAACAGTTCTACAGTTTTTTCTATAGTAGTCAAACACTAGTCTAGCACTAGTCAAACACTAATCCAATACTAGTCCAACACTAGTCCAACACTAGTCAAACACTAGTCAAACACTAGTCAAACACTAGTCCAACCTTAGTTCAACACTAGTCCAATACTAGTTAAACAATAGTCCAACACTAGTTCAACACTAGTCCAACACTAGTACAACCCTTACCCAAGTCTTACACTAGTCCAACAATAGTCCAACACTAGTCCAACACTAGTCCAATACTAGTCCAATACTAGTCCAACACTAGTCCAATACTAGTCCAACACTAGTCCAACACTAGTCCAATACTAGTCCAATACTAGTCCAATACTAGTCCAACACTAGTCCAATACTAGTCCAACACTAGTCCAATACTAGTCCAACACTAGTCCAACACTTGTCTAGCACTAGTCAAACACTAGTCAAACACTATTCCAATACTAGTCAAACACTAGTCCAACACTAGTCAAACACTAGTCTAGCACTAGTCAAACACTAGTCCAACATTAGTTCAACACTAATCCAACACTAGTACAACACTAATCTCACACTAGTTCAACAATAGACCAACACTAGTCCAAGACTAGTCCAACACTAATCTAACACTAGTCCATCCCCCCCCCCAATACACATAGATCCAGACTGCTAAACCCAGAGATAGATACACATAGATCCAGACTGATAAACCCAGAGATAGATACACATTTTTTTGAGATCTAGATATTTATTATCTCCGTATCGAGATTATTTAAATTGTACAAAATAGTTTACATGGATTAAATAGGACAGTTTTACATCAAACTCGTTTACATATATTATTATATTATATAGGAGTAAATTTACGGATACATTTTAAATAAAAATTTTGTATCAATGCTACTTAGATTATGCAAAACATACAAATTGAGAATTGTACCATTGAAGTGGTGGAACATTAAATGCATAAAATGGGTCATTGATG